GCGGCACCGGGAAGATTTATGCATAAATTTTATCATAATCGTTGTTCTTTTTCAGTCCGCTGTTGGATGAAGGCCTCTGCAAGCTTTCGCCACCAAGTCATGTCGCATCCAATTCTTATTCCGACTGTTCCAACAGATTTCTTAATTTTATCTTACGATGGATATGAAATCTTTCGACGGAAAGAACCCAGCTGAGGTCGCTTTGTCGAACGATGGTCTGCACTTCGATCAAATTGTTCGATCCATTGCACCGCTGCCATTTGAGCTTTCTTCGTTCTCTAAGTGTTGCCGCAGAATGTTAGATGTGCTCCCGTCGATTCATTCTTCCTCTGCTTTTTCCTCTGCTTCTTCTTCTTCCTCTTCTTCTTCTTCTTCTTCTTCTTCTTCTTCTTCTTCTTCTTCTTCTTCTTCTTCTTCTTCTTCTTCTTCTTTCCAGCATGCACCGTTCGTTCCATGTTTCTGAATAGCTTTTGCGCTCACGGTCAAAATCTCGCTTCTTAGAACCTGTCACCAGAAGGTGTCCATGCAGTTTTCCTCTTCTGCCGACTTCAGAGGGGCTCTGAAATCAGCGCAGATGTAACTTCTGATTTCACAGATGATGTCCCAGACAGATGTAATTTCCTCTCTTTACGTTCAGACTTACCTCTTCAGCTCCTTGCAATGTAGAATATTTGTCAAACATGACTTACACCGATGTATAGTCCATTTGCAAACCCTCCTAGAAGTTATACACTCTTGGATTTTTCTTAATCCCTGTCAACACTTTTCTGAAGACGTTTGAAGGATTTAAATGTCACCTGCATGATTTGATTAAAATACTTTTTTCTTCAGTTTCTCTTTTTCTCCGTTTCCTCGAAAACATTTTTTTGAGCTGAGGGTAGGAGAGCATGGGCACGCATCAACTTATGCATAATTATAGCATATTATTTATTATTAAAAATTCAGAAAAAAATAACTGTTTAGATTACTCAGTCTCAACTGGCTTAACCAATTCTATTCAACCAAACGATATGACCAACGTATAGATAATTTGAGATTTTTAAACTTCAACCACTGTTTGCATTTATCCTGCCTTCTGAAAGTTTTGTTCGTTTAAGAGGCCACAGTGTGACGGTGAGTCGAAAGTACGACCTGAAATTCGAAAGAAACGGTCAAGGAGGGAATCGGCTGGGAGCGACTTTGATCTGGAATCATCTCCAATTTTGGTTCTCGACCTGAACGAGGTCAACGACTACCAAAACAATGGTACATGTTTGTGCCTCCTTATGCTTTGACGTTAAACACGCTTCAAATCTGATTCTAGTCACCGAAGAATCGATGCCTTTGACCGACCCGCAACAAGATGAATCAGCCTATGGCGATGGCTTCCTCTGTCTCTCCTCGTCAATGCAGACGTTGTTCTTTGCGTCTACGCTGGGGCTCGGCCTGACGTCGCTTTCGCTGATCGCCGCCTTCCTGTTGTACATCCGCCTCAGAAAATATTCTGGGAAGTTTAACCTTTACGAAAAGCGTTGAATTACTTTTGCCTCCGCTTCCTCGCTCTGGCCTCAACCTTCTGAAGCTGAGTGTAGAACTGAGTCTTGCGTTCAAGATTTCGGTTGTTTTTATTTTTGTTGAAAATTCGTGCGAAATTCATATCATTATGCGGTGTAGAAAAATGTGCAGTAGAACAGTGATATGCCTAACAGCAGTAATCTGTGTTAGTAGTAAAATGTATTGTTAGATGTTCGACTTCTTCTATTTCAATTTTTTAATTCAGGCATTCTTCTGCATCCGCAGAGAAAATACTAATGGCTGCTTTACATTTGCACAAGAGTTATAAAAGCAGTTGCATATATCACATGGTATACAAGCACACGTCAAATAAGGAACGATTTATTGAAAGTTTATGTAATTCTGTGTTACCTGATTTTCAGAAGAGGTTTTCTAGCCAGGTGTTTTCTGATAGGATAATCACGCAACCCTGCAACAATGGATTGCCATGCAAAAGCTTAGCTCCATAAGGAAATAGATTACTAGAGAAAACCGTCTTTTATCTTTCACGGACACGAAGACGAAACGCGCAAACAACATCACACGTGGAAAGCGAGTTAAAATACTTTTTTAAAAGCGGCATAGTCAGGTCCGCTGCTGAACGCAGCGGTTTAAAATGCGTCAAGCTACCACCACCTGGGGTCAAAAACAAACTTCCTGATGAAAACCAAAGATTCAGCTGACTGTCAATAAGAAGAAAGCTGCATTGTGGCTTGCAAGAAAAGAACCATCATCTCGAATGTGGTGCGAAATAGCGCGTAAGGCGGAAGC